CCGCAGAGCGAGCATCTCTCATGGTTCCCCCAGTAGCCATTTGCCGTTTCGTTACGGATCCATGGGGATCCGCATCCACCTCCACCACGAGGAGAATTACGGATGGCTCTTGGTCGCGTGGGGGCCACCCCCCCCCCCNCCCCCACGTCGTTGCCTTTTGGAGGCACTGAATTGATACAGTTAGATACCATATAAGATATTGCGAAATAGGGCCTACTACTGTAACCCTCGTGTTAGGCAGCGATTAACACGTTAAACGCCACGCCGGTCCCTTGGGACCAGTCCTTGCGTACTTGCACTTATCTGCGCGTGGCCCGGAAGGGTCCGAATGACGGCTAACTATGACGTGAACGGAACGGCAAGCAAAATCGACGTTAAGTCTAACGTGTTAACTAAAAAAATGTACGCTGCATTAGCTAGTTCACAACGTCTAGCGCTAATAAAAGTCGTTAAAGCATACCGGACCGTATCCACGGACGCAATCTCGGTTGTGGCAGGCGTATACCCAATCGACCTTGAAATAACAAGAAGAATAATAAGTTACAAAATACGACGAAACATAAACTTTGAAATAGAAGATTACGAAGTGCAGTGGAACAAAGATATGGCAACATCAGGCGAAACACGCGAAATATGGAAGAATGTAGAAGAACAACTAATGAATATATGGTAAAAGAGATGGACACAGTCAACAAAAGGCAGAACGACACAAACGTACTTCCAAACTATACAAGAAAGGCTAACATCAACCTGGATAACACCAAACTTTTACGTCATACAATTTTTGACGGAGCATGGAAATAACAACAGTAAACAATACAATCTAAATATAATCAACGATGCGAAATGCGCATGCGGAGAAATAGAAACTACGGAACATATGCTCTTCGAATGTGTACAATACGAAATGGACAGACAGCCAATAACAGAAGAACTGAGAAAACGAAACATCGATGAAATAGGTAAAAAGAACTTTGTAGCAACGAAAGATGCATTCATGATATTCACAAAGTACGCCAAAATGATCATTGACAAAATAGAAGAGAAGAGGACATTCCAGCCGAGATCGAACGGATCTTAAAGTTGACACACGGAACAAAACTGGAAAAAAAAAGGATTGAATACAGTCTCGAGGAAATAATTAGCATAACCCGATAACCAAAAACAAAACAACGCAGTACAACAGATGCATGTTAGGTCTCCTGTCCTGTGTTAAGTGTGCCTTATGTTAAGTCTCCCGCTGCGTAGCAACGGGAAACATAACATAGGGCACAAATAACCAGTGAAAGAACAAAAGACCGCCGATATAATAAACAGAGGTGCGGCGGGAGTGGAGGTGGGGGAGAAAAAAAATCGAATTCGGGCCGTCCGTTTGCAAGAAACGTCGATCTCGCTCGTGTAAACCGATGACAAATTTTTTTGCGAACGGCTCGCACGAGTCTGACGTACGGGGTGCTGCACTGTCCTGTTTGCTCTTACGAATCTGCATATTGAACGATATCGAATTTGGGCAAACAACTGAGTAACAGGTACAGCAGTAGTCGACAATTTGGCTTTACGACAGGGAAATGCACGGAGGACGCGATCGTCTCCGTGAGACAATCAGTCGACGAGCAGAAAGAAAAATACGCTCTAGGAATATTCATCGACATTGCAGGAGCCTTCGATAATGTTTGATGGCCACGTGTCCTATTCGAGTTAAAAAAAACGGGACTGGCCGAGGAATCTGTACATTCTCTTCCAAAGTTACTTTGAGTCGCGATCGGTCATAATGCAAGACAATTCCCAAATCAGCAAGAAACCGGTCACAAAAGGTTGCCCCCAAGGTTCCGTATTAGAGCCGTTCGTATGGAATTTGATTTTTGACAGTAACTTGCATAGTCTTGAGAATGAAAAGCATTGCAGTGCAATATCATACGCTGACGATCAGGTACTAATAGTATCTGGAAACACGTGGAGAGAAATTAAAACGAGAACACAACAGGCAATAAACAAGGTAACAACATGATGCCAAGAACAAAATTTATCAATCTCTGCAACAAAAACAGTCATGACGATGTTAAAGGGCAAATCAACGGTAATGGAAATAAACTTGCACATAAAATCAATGGGCAAGATATACGTCTGGTCGACAAAGTAAAGTACTTGGGAGTAGAATTTGACAGAGGCCTCGGAATTCATTCACACATTAAGAACATGTGAAAAAACTAAAACGATATTCAACAGTATAGGTAACATGGCCAAAAATACGTAGGGAATAGGGAACAAGGCAATGAGAACAATGTACAAAGGAGTTTACATACTTATAATCACCTATGCAGCTACCAGTTGTGCCGACAAATTAACACGTTAAACGCCTCGCCAGTCCGTACGGACCGGCGGCAGACTTTTCGTTCTTGTTATCGGTCCTTGTGTACTTGTACCTATTGGCGAGCGGCCCGGAAGGGCCCGCATGACGGCTAACTGGCGTGAACGGAACGGCACGTAAAATCGGCGTGGCGTCTAACGTGTTAAGGAATACGCAACACAGCAATTCGGAAAATTGAAGAAACGCACTCAGGATTACGCGAGATACGAAAGGGGTTAGGCAAATAATTGAAATTCTACGATTTAACAAGTTGAGCGCTGAACCGATTTCGATGAGCTTTCCGTATAGGCGGCACAATTTTTTATATATAGGATTCTTGATGCCGTGTCAGTCCTCAGGGACTGACGCCGCCTAGACGGAAAATTCACTGTCAGTCCCCAGGGACTGACGCCGCCTGGACGGAAAGTTCACTGTCAGTCCCCAGAGACTGACGCCGCGCTTAACGTGTTAATAGAAGGCAGGGAGAACTTTTGCTACACAAACTTTCAGATCGTCGTATGCATTTTATAAACTGATGGCATAAGTTAAAATATTCAAGAAACATCCGCAATACGCAAGGCAGCATTCGCAAATCGCACTTTAAGCAAGAGTGACGTGGACATAAAGGCAGCACAAGAAAGTTAAAATTACAGAGAAAGGGGTTCGCGCACTTCGCGAAAGAGATTTAACGCTATAAAAAGAGTTCGTACTTCACGAAAAGGGATTTAACGTGCAGACCATACGTAAAATGAAATGATTAAGTTCGAATCGACATGGCTTCTTGGTCCGACCGAGAAGAAAGGCTGAATTTTAAGAGGGCCGCTCATACGAGACAGTTCGAATTGAACGGAAATAGACAGCTCACCCCAGACAATGGCCGGTGAAACACGGAAGAACCGACCGCGTGGTATGGGGCTCGACGATGAGATACCCGGAGAAAACACGAAAATGGCGAAAACTCTATTCAAATTAAAACTCAAACCTCGGGCTGGATAAGTGCAGCGATGCTCCCTTGTCGGCAAGTTCCTAGCAGAATGTGATGATCCTCCTCGAGCAGCGATACGGGATGGAGTTGTAGGCAGAGAACACATGTCTCGACCCTGTAAGGGCGATCTCCCTTAGCCGTACCTGGGGCTCAATGTCTCCCTACCTGTATCTACCGGCTCAGTTGATCTCCGTCCACCTCCACCAAGGTAAACGGGCAGGAAAAATCCTAATACTACGGATCCATCAAGAAACCTCAGGGAGGTGCGTACCGGCCGGGACCTCCGCGACGCACGCCACTCGGGCGGCCGCTTGAACCCGGTCCGTTGCCCGCGGGGAACTTAGTGGAAGTCCCTCCCCTGCACCCGCGTGGCACGAGTATTTGTGTAAGGCCCCACCTGAGACACAATACTCCAGTGTGGTTTGCGGCGTCAGTGATGGTCCCTCCGGCATTGATCTTTCGGAGGATCTTTCTATCCAGCGCCATTCTTCCTCTGCAGCCCCGAAAGGATTTACGCCATGTGCCCCATTCTGCCATCTGGCTGGCTCCTATCAACAGCAATCTAACTAATAGAGCCACTGCGATGGCAGTAGGACTCTCCTTTTTCGACAACTCCGCTCAACCTTAAACTGGAAACATTTAAATCGCATTGCGCATGGGTTCTTTTTGAAGGCACAATTTACCGCCACATCAAATAAATGTTGACAATTAACAATTTCTTAACCTACGGGATTGCTTGCAGGACCCCTCTCCGCTGTGATCGCGGACCTCCCCTTTGAACAGGTCAATCTGACCATAGTAAATATATATATAGGATGTCCGGAAAGTCAAGGTGTTCCCTTTAAGGGTAGATAGGACGAAAAATTGTGTGTAATAAAATTATTCGAACTGCCCCCCCCCCCCCCCCGCACAAAGAAGATACAACCTCACAAAGCGCAGTCAGTAGGATTTGCGGCCCAGCAGTAAACCCATCAGCTATGAGAGACTTTTCGTTACTTTTTCGAAATTATGTTTTATTAATTTGTAATTAAATAACGAATAAAGTCCGATCAATTTCAGATGTTTAACATGATGAAAAAAAAAAAAAGGTGAAGAGTCCGCAAAGCCAAAAGACTCTTACTACATTTTGCCCATGAGATTCAGTGACGAGGGCAATGCCTTTTGTCGAAAATCACTCTCTCAGCCTTCAATCAAGACTGATGGATGAAACTGATCTCAAAAAAACTCCATTTACTTGAGAATTTTTTAAGTCCAATTTCACGTTATTGAATTAATAAAAAGAAAAGCGAAGAGGGAGAATACCCGCAGCGGCGAGTGACTCGGTGCCGTTTACGCGTGAATTAAAAGTGAAAAATCACGTTTTTTACGATTACTTTTGTAATAGTGGTAATTGAGGATTGAAACGTAGCAAAAATTACTTTTGTATTAAGGGAAATATTTGAACAAGTTCTGCTGTGGCCTCCTAAATGATTCAGTACACCCAGTTTGGAAAAAAGTTTCATAAATGATTGACTTCTCAGATGCTACTTTCATATCACCTTAAAGTGCTGTTGTATCGCGTACATCGTCGTGATTTACATTTGCACACAATTGTGAATCAATTATTAAGATAAGTTATTGATCAGTCAAAGGATACTATAGATTAATCACTGCGCTTTTTTTTCTCAGAGACTGGAAATTCAAGCACCCCTTGGGAATGACAAAACGGAAAACATACAGTATCCGCACCGCTAAAGTCGGTAAAAATGGACTGTTCTCCAAAGAGGTTCTTTACACTCTTTTCCTCACCAACTTCCTTTCTTTGCTCATTGGAACTGGTTTTGGGTAAGTGTTCTCACTTTATTGATCAACCTATATTTGGTTATTCAATAGTTAACCAACGTTATTTCCAATATTTAAGTTCAAATCTAGGAAATATCTATGATTTAGAGTAAATACAAAATAAAAGGTTACTATTTTTGAAAAATATTCAACCAATCATTGTTTATGTAATACGAGTGAAACCTTTGATATAACACCATAACACGATTCACATCCTGAAATATCACAAAAAATATTTCAAAGAATATAATATATACGGTTATAAAACATCAATTAACAGACCGCATCTCATGATCCATCCCCGAAAGTTTGGATGGGATAATTCCAACCCTCTAGTATACATTACTAATATACCTTAGATTTTATTTTCACCTTTGCTACATTTTAAGCTCAGAGAAAATGTGATGTACTGTGACGTAAATATTTGCTGCGTCACGACTCCCCAAATTTATGCAATTGTTGCCTTTTTCGCGTATTTCAGGATCCATGGTCCGACGGTCACCGACCCAGGGGAGGGGGAAAGTTGATCTTTAATTGATTAATTTTGGTTGCGTCTTTTATTTCAGGTTAATTAAGCTATCGACGGGAACTTTTCAAATTTTCTGTGACAAATCCATCCATCTTCCCAGTTCCCGGGCGCGCTCCCAAGCATTCGCCGGAATATTATGTTGAATATTTGGCGGAATGCTTGAGAGCTCGCAAAATTTCTATAAATCGTAGCGAGACTCCAGTCGTCAGGTCACAATATAAACACCGTCGATCTCACGGAGGTCGCGCGCGCGCTACCGCTTGTCGCCCCGACGTCGAGAAAGCCACGGTACACGAACAGCTCAGGACCGGATGCACCGGCCGCGGTGCCACGGCTAGCTCGTTGGGTCCATCCGGAGGGTCAAATCGTCCCTACTACGCATCATAGATGCCTTGCCTGCGGGGGCGGGCCGTAGACGGGCCCTGGCGGCTCAGGTACGGCCGTCCATGAGAACCCTGGGACTTCCCGACCAGGAGCCGGCTCAGGAGGCAGGTGCTCCCAAAACGACTCTGGCTGCTACCGACGAGGCGATCGACGGAAGCCGCGATCAGAGAAGGAGTTCGACCCCGTCCTCGCCGGAGTGCTCGGAGCTTGTCGGACGATCTGCCCCGGGTGAGCCAGGATCCCCGGGAGGTGAAAATTTCGGCCGCCTCGCAGACCCAGGCGCGCCGGGGCCCGACGGGGCCCGACGGGTCATCGTTAGCTACGGCCGTGGCATCGCCGGCAAATCGGCGCACGCCGGGCGCGCACCATCGCGGTCCAACAACCACGCCACCGCACCCCCCGATCCTAGGAATTGGGCCAGGGCACGCCGGTTTCGCCAAATTCAGAAATCACGGAGCCTCTCGACCAATTAACTCTTTCCTTACGGCAGCTTGCTCCGCTGGAGTGTCACCACTGAACGGGACACCGCGTCGCGAAGTGTGCCTTTTGCACGTCGTTGTGCCTGTACACACAGGTTGTTTCGCGAATGCCGACTATAATCGGTTCCGGTTTTTCCTGGTCTGGCTTACGGCGGAAGAAAATCGGGCTTTAGGTTGGCCTCCCGAGAGGCTGCGGGAATCCTCGAGCGGATACAAGAGCGACTTTCCTTTGTTGCGTCGTGTCCCCTAATTTTCTGTTTCCTCATGTTGTATCGCGCCGTTTTGAGTAGAAGCGCGTAAATCGAGCTTTAGATTGTCTAGCTGCGGATATTTAACTTCACTTGTCTCCCGGAGTCTTGTGAATGGTTTTAGTCCCCGAGATCGTTTTGTGGATGTAATAAATTAATTTGGCTTTTCTTCCAAAAGTTTGTGAACGGTTTTGGCCTTCGGCGAGATAATTTTGCTTTCGTGACATTTTAGGTTAACTTCTTCTCGCGATGATTTCTGAATGGTTTGGGTCTTTGGCAAGAGAATTTTTCTAGTGCAATAATTTAGTCTTTTTGTCGCGCCAAGTGTTCAAGTCATAGGATTGTCTAATTATCTGCCCCTCGGGGTCGGATGCGGAGAAACTGCGCGGTGGCCGCGTGGTCACCCGCGTCTGCGACCCATTTTCACTTCTGGAGGACCCATTCGTCGCGCCCTTCTGTCTTTGTTCGGTAATTTTGCGATTATTTTGCGATAACTTCGAAATAATTTTGCGACGATATTGAGTAATTACTTTAGGGAATCGGATAATTTTGAGTCCGAGACAAATAATTAATTGTCGAATTTGTAACGATAGAGCTCGAGGGCGCGAGTTAGGTGGCAACCTCGTGCGCCGCGGTCTACGTTCGGATCTCTTCCCGCGATAGTGGCCCGCTCGGAGCGTTTGAGTATCCGAGGGGTCATGCCTGGGTGGAGTAAGATATTCTCAGGTTTTTGGTAACAATAATAACGTTTATTGATTGGACAACGGCTGCCGGTCAGCGTCAGTTGCTTCAAGTCTGAAAGTAAAACATTGGGAGCAGATCGGATACAAACGGGATCGTACTTAATGCTAATTGTTTACAATATGAATTATATGTTAATCGCGGTAATGATTCTAACCCTATTGTTCGAACTCCCGGGTCGGAGAGGTGACACTATATACAAGGTCGGTTCGTATCGCCTCTTGTCGGAACTATCTTCGGAGATGCGAATTCGCGCCTATAGTGATTCGAGGTCTCGTCCTGCGAATCGGGTTTGAGAGTGTAGGCGGGTTTCTTCCCTTCCTACAACTCTGACTTGCTCTATTTTCCCGGGCCTCTTATAGTGCCCGGGAGGCTCGCGCTTCTGTGGGAGAGCGCGGGCCGTGGATCGCCGCGTAGCGGCCGCGGCGCGCACTAGCCGGCTGGAGTTGTGCTTGCGGGAACCAGACGCCGGGCTGCGGGGCCGGCCGCAATGCTGTGCGAGTCGTGTGGCTCGGCATCGGGCGCCCTGGTCCGAGGCACACGGCTCGTTACAAATTGCTTTGTGATTTTGGTAGAGATATCGTCCCGCGTCGGTCACATTTGCCACTCGTCGCAGATGGCACCCATTGCGTAACTTTAAGTCTGGGCCATGAAAACAAGCCCAGCTTATTTTCTGTGTAACTGAAATGGTCAGCTGTAGCAAACCCGTTCTTTTGATTTAAGCCGAATCTGTTTTTTTTTTTTTTTCGAGTTTCCCGACCTCTAGTTTTCTGGGCGTTTAATGTTTTGGTAGTTCATTTTTGAGTTGACGAACTCCCGAATTAGTGCCGATCAGATTTTTGTTCTATTACCTCATCTTTGTCTTTCACGGCGCCGAGTAGCCGCGAATACCTGATATCTTTGTCAAATCGCGTTCTATCGCGAACCCACCGTAAATTTGAATTGCCTCGATTCAGACCCGATTTTTTTTGGGGGCGACCATCCGTCGAACCCCGCTTCCGTTGTAGGTTTCGATTGCCCGAGAACTAAATTGTTAAATAATTTATTTTTCTTTTTCTTTCAAGTGGTCGAATAAATTTGTAAATTCTTCATTGGCTTGATTTTAGTTTCCATTTTCTTGGCTGAATTCCTCCAGACATTCCCAATTCGAGTTTTCTCGCAATTCTTTGATTTTTCTCTATCCCGTAGTCTGGTCACCCCACCCTCTCAGAACCTGGCGCGTGCGCTCTGCGCCAGCCGGCCGCGCCGCGCCGACCTCGAGGCGGAGATCGTTCGAACCTAAACTTTTGAGTTTCGTTTGAGAATGTTGAGTTTTTGAGATTGTTAAGAATTGAGATTTTGTTTCTTTCGGGGAGGCCTGGCGCCCAACTTCGTGTCTCGGTCCTGGTGGAAAAATTGTGTGTGGCTCGAACGGCTCCGCCTAGACGATCGGTCGATGGTGACGAGCGATAGTCCGGGCGCTGGGGACCCGGAATCTATCCCCTCGTTCGTGTCCTTCGTCATAGTACATTCCCTGAAACTATTTTGTACAATTAACAAATGTTTCGGAACTATCATAGGTGACAGGCGTATCCAAAACGAGTGCATATGAATTTATAGATACGTGAGTGAAACTCGATATACGTATTAACCTTACTTCCGCATACAAAGATTACAACTCAATAGAGTTCGGTGTAACTGAGGCACACCTCAGGTTTATAAATCTGAACCACGAGTGTTATCCCTTAATACTTCGATCCTAAGAGCCATGAACATGAATCCAACGTTACAGCCATCGCAGAACATTGCTTACAAAATATGGTCTGCATCTGTTACTCAACGAGTGATTTATCCTACAAGAGATCAAGCCGTCATACTGAAGGCAGTGGAAGGAATTAGTATTAAAGAGTATACAATCGCTGTTGGAAACCTAGTCAATCCCAATAACATTCGGTTCGTATCCAAAATTTCAAATAGCAGAGTGTGCTTATTTCGAGTGGTCGGGATTTTATCATAGACTGACCGACATACCCTCTTACACATACAGTTGTGACAATGCAATGTGAATCTAGTCACTGACTTCCAAAAGAGAGCATTCTTTCTAACGTATATCCGATGATACATGATTCATTAATGGAAGGAAAACTTCGAGAATGAAATATTTACATTATCCTCTCAAATATCATATATCAGAACCGGCATCCTTGTTCCGTGCACTACAGTGCGGTGGATTTCGCGCTAACTTTAACAAAAACTCACCCCAAGTGTTTTTGTATAAGTATGAATACTCATTTGTACACGGAACAGTAAACTGTGCTACAATTTTGTATGTTACGACCCGAGCAAAATAGTTTGCGTTGGAACTTATGGTTGTTCGCGTCGGTGCCGGAGAAAAAGTCCCTTTTTCTAGGATGAACAAATTCTGGTTTAGCTATGAAGATCTAAGAATAAGGAGATCTCGGAGAAAGTTTTGGAGGGATCTCCGAGGACAGGTTGAGAGCAAAACGGGATGCATTTTGCAATGCAGCCGATTGGTTGAAAACAAACGCGGAAAGAGAAATTAATGCAGTAAAGGAAGGGTAGGTGGGGACTGCAAAATGGACTACAGAAGAAATACTTCTTAGAAGTAACTCGGAAAAGGGTCACGGAATATGGTTACAAATTGCCTTTATCTAGTACGTGCCGAAATTAAGAAAGTGAGGCTTAAGTGCTAAAGAAATAAATTGTCTTTCTCAGAAGGTTTGGACGAGTTTGCGACTTAATGGCTTCCATGTGAGTCGAGAGCGACAGAAAGTTGCCCTTAAAGAAGAGACCTTTATAACATGGAAGAAGGGAGACGAGCGCCTTGACCACGGCTTCTATGACGGTCGTCTACCCTTGGTGGAGAGGTTATGACGGGTCGCGCGGTACGAGCGTAGATATACTCGCACCGTTAGCGTGATCGAATTGATTTATTAACTAGTCTAAATCCAACTCTAGATCGAGCTACTATGTTGGATCAGTTGAAGACGATTCAATCCCCGATTCGGGATATTCTCATATTCAGGCGACGGGTCTATGTTTAACCGGAGGACGTGTTGAAACTTCCTGTTACGAGGCTACCCGATTTTCCTCTAAATAGAGAGGCGCGCATTCTACTAAGTATGAGTCAGTTACCGAAAGATAAATATCGAATCCAAAGCAACGACAGTATCGTCAGATTAAACTGAAAAAATAACAACGAGTGGAACAATCATCGAGGAATTGTTTTGTCTTATTCGCACACACTCCGCATCGAACTGCACTTTGGACCAAAACACGGACCTACTCTTCCGCCAACCTAGTGACTACCTCAGCACTTCCGATCAAACTTCTAACAACAAAATCCAGAAACAAAGGAACCGAACCCACGGGCATCTCAAGGATAAGATCTCGTATAAAAGCAATGTCGAAAAGCAGCCGCCAGCAGTAATATAGTAGCAGTATGGCAGTAGTATAGAAGAATCCAAGACAGCGTACAGAGCAGTCTCAGGAACGAAGCTGGAGCTCTCTGAAGAGCTGACCGTACCGTAGTAACAGTTGTGCGTTTCGGTAACGTGCTTCCTCTACAAGAAAGGACATCTAGCGAAACACGGCAAGGACATTGATGGTCCACAAGAGTCCCAATACACACCGATAACATCGCTGCGCCATAATGCGGTGCCGAAATCAGCCGACGGCAACAGCTTGGAAGCATCTCAATTTGAAGAAACTCGTATCAGAACCAAAACATCTACAGCCCTAGTTCCACCCAATAGCATCTAATGTGTACCAGAAGGCATTATAAATAAAAATACCTCTTTATCGGTGCCAGCTACTAAAGAGACCTCTCACAAGCTCCTCCGATACCACAAATATTCAACTACAAACAGACGATAATAACTTAAATTCCATGATGCAGCCGAATTTGACTCCAGCTTCTCCTAAGGTCGAAGGAATATCGGTTCCAATTCCCAAGAAGAAAAGGATGAAAAATAAGAAACTGACGAAGAGAAAATTAACCTCAGTTTCATGTGGCGCCAGCCAAAGACTATTTTCTAACTCCCGGAGACAAAGTCCTAATCAGCTATGATCAATTAGTATTATAATATTTATAGACAAGGCTCTGAGCAATGATCTCATATAAAATTCTGTTACCAGATTTGGATTAAGCGGTTATAAAAACCGTACTACTCCGTTTCGTATAATAATCCAATCATTTTGAAATGATATTCGCCATTTTGAGTTGTGAAATTCTGTTGTCATATTTGGTTTAAGCGATTCGAAGAATCTAAAGAAACCGTTTTTTCTTATCCACCCAATTTAGAGAATGCTTTCGTCAACGATTTGGCCTCTTATATACATATATACTGTTTCATATCACCTTTAGGAGTCCTCTATTTAGGATGTATGAAGGTTACGTCCTGTTACGTGGGACTTAACACCATGTAATGAAATCCTATATCATTTAAGACAATTTGATTTTAATTAAATATCACGTGATAACTTATATCATAATTTTTACTAAAGACTAAGTAATGAAATTACTTAATTTTTTCAGAGTTTGGCTGACCAGGCGAGGATTAATGATGCCCCGAGTTACAATTGAGTGAAGTCAGTAGTGCAATATCATATACGATAAAACTATTAAGCAACGGAGAAAGATTGGCAATTTTACGCCGGAAAGACTGATAAGATGGAAGGCAACCAAGCCTAAACATGCAAGAATGACACATGCACACAAATGAAAACCCAGCTATACGCATTATCCAATAATATAACTATTTCTATTTTAATCCTTAATTATACAGTGTTCTTCTTAAACAATGTTTATGATTAAGTTATATATATATAGCAAATATATATATACATATGTACACGCATATGCGTATATGCCTAAGAAGGTATGTTTATAAAAAAAAAAAAAAAATGTGGTAGCCTAGCTCCGGAGAGAATAAGAACATGTCCATTTTATACCGTTTCTAATGCGTTTTTATCTGCGATAGTTTGTAGGTATAGCTTGGATAGTATTTATCTGAAACTTCCTGCTTAATGAGTTAAGGTGAAGTGAGACCTTCTTCAAATCAGTCGATTCGAATAAGATACTTTTTTTAAAAGGGTATTCCACCGAACTGGCTAATGTTTGGCACATGACTTGTGAGCACTTTAGTAATATCCTGACGCATTCAAAAGTTTGATTGTCATACAAAATTATTTTATGTAGCATAGAGCAGGACCAAAATGGCGAACATCCATGTATCGATCAATATACAATATTGAAGGCTCTAATTTAAGAAACGAACGTATCTAGACAATTGTGCAACAATTTAGAATAATTTAGTACTCGAGAAACTCCTATTTGAACGTGATAAATTAAAAAAAAAATGTGTCTTATGAGCTACTATAAAAAACGAAAGTAACACGAGATTTCAGAGAGAAAATTTAGGTGGCGCAGGGCGGCACTCTGTAGTCAATTAGGGATTCAAAAATAATGAATCTAGGAAATTTCTAGACTTTTGCTATGATTTCTTTATAATTATTGCACGTAAACAACAGATCAAAAAGATCACGTTCGTTTTTAACGTAGATATTTAGAAGAATCTTTTTTACCGACGTCGATTAAATTTCTCAATGGGTTTCACTTCACCTTAAGATAGCACGCTAAAATTGGCGAAATGATGTATATTCTTTTATTTAGGAAGAGTCAAAATTATGATCCTGTTTAAAATAACATTCAGGTGATCTTAAAATGATGTGAATGACGCCGATAAATTTAATCGACAGCAATAAAATAAAATTCCTATGTATCCTTTTCGGTGGGAACTCCATTTTGGATCCTCTAGTAGTAACAAGCTGACGCGCCACGTTACCGATATTTACGTTTATGTCAACATTTATTACACTGTAAATTGAGAATTATGCAAAATGCAGTACTCCATATGTCATTTCAATACAAAGATTGTAGAGAGATCAAAGTAAAGCTGAAGAAATCCATTGGATTCACGATTTTTGATACTCTAATGTACCACCGGCACCATCGGTCAGGTTTAACTGGAACTAAATATTCGCTCTAAGAGCACGCGTTACCCACAGAACATGCGAGCATTCTTTTACAATCATTTATTATAATATCTTTTATATTTTCCCATTTGACTTTGTCAAATTCGATTTTTATAGTATTGTAAATTAGAACAGTCTTCAAAAAACATAAAAGAGCGAAAGAATGCGTGAATGATGCCAGGATGGTTTTAGTCCATGGTAAATCAAAAAATGTATTGTTACAAAATTAAATTTCACGAATTTGAGGGCCTCTAATGCGCGTGGCAAAATTTGAAACGAATCGGTACACACAACTCAGAAAACTTCTCTGAATGATTTTACCCCTCAAACGCCGGTTTCATATCAGCTTAATATTCCTACTTCCACGAGTTGCTTACATCAAATGTTCAGTTATCTTTCATTACATGTAGCAATTATGCAGTTCCTATATATGTGGAACATTTTTATTATTCTATCACTTAGCGTGAGTAATGGTAAATACTTCCCTTTTGTTTGATCAGTAATAGTGCTGATTGCGAGACTTCGTGATAAAGGGTGTAAGCATTTGTGTATTTCTTGAATACTTCAACAATTACTGAAAATCTTAAAGCGGCAAATCGATACCTAATGTGCCATGTTCCTGTAATTCCGGCATTCAAACACTGTTTCTACAAAATTACTTTTATTTTTTGCTCAATCAAACACTCACGTACTTAGTTTAGAAACTTATATTTTTTATAAGAGCAATCATCGGGTAAGAAACTATTCTTGTTCACTTGTCACAATTCACTTGAGGTTTTAATATGGTTTTATTGTGCTAATATTAATACAACTTTTATGTCAGTCTAAAAAATTGTAATCGATTTAAAACAATTATACTATACATATAAAAGAATAATTGAATAAAAATTTATTGGGAAGCAATACAATAGTCACTATTCGTTCATAAAACAAATCATCACATTCGCATTCTCTCTAACACGTACAAAAAATAATATGTACTTTTCAGTTTATATTCACGATTTATGGTTTCTGATATTTCCGAAATGGAATAACTCCGTCACACTGTATGCACTCATGTGTATAAAATTATCCTACAGATGTAATATATTTAAATGTTTGTGTACAAAACGATTGGCAGGATTAAATCATTAAAATTAATTATTTTGTTTAACAACATATTATTTCAGCAAAATCAGTTTTCAGTAACGATTTCAATTTCTTCACTTTTGCATGATAATCTTTGTTTGAGTTATTAATGACAATGCTTTAAATGTAAATGTAAATATCTATACGAGTACCCAGGGACATTTGGACTCCTTACGGACCTAATTGACATTTGAAGTATTATTGTTTTCCATTCTTACATTAATATAAAATTAACCGGAAAACCATTTCATTGTTTCATTTATTCATTCAATTAGGTTGCTTTATTTTTAATTATTTAATGTTCTATTTCATTCAATATAATTCGCTGGAGTGATTTATGTTCTGTTTATAATTGAAGTTAAGTTTCATCCATAAAATTACATATTTATTCTGCTTAACACGTTAAGCGTGGAACCGATTTTGCTGAGCTTTCCGTTTAGGCGGCACAATTTTTTACATATAGGATTCTTGATGCCGTGTCAGTCCCCAGGGACTGACACCGCGCTTAACGTGTTAATTAATTATTCATTTTTGTATGGCAACAGTTTTCTCAAACATTTTTATAATCTGTTCGATAATTTAATTATATATATTGCATATTTCTCAATTTTGCGTAATGGAATGGCATTCAGGCATTTTTGGAGGCATAAATTATTAATATTTTTAGATTTTCTTCTGCACATACATACATAGAGTAAGAAAGTACTTGGATATTTGACTGTGGCTATAGTCACACTTTCTTGTGTATAATATGTCAATTCCAATAAAATTTTGGCATTCTTGTGTATATCAGCATGCATAGTTAGTTGCACCAAATCAATTTTACAAGATTATTCCCTCCACTATATCAGTCTACTAAAACTAAAAAAATTATTTCGTTGCTGTGCTTAGCAAATTAAACTATTTACATGATACAAATTCGTAAGTGTTCAATTATAAACGGAATCCAGGAATTTCATACACATATACTGCGACGGGTTCTTCACTCGTCCCAAGGACACCACCGCAGGGAGGGCGGATCGAGACCTCCAGTGGTCGTAGGGCTATGCGAGGGTTAAGGTAGGTTAGGTATGGCTTTGGTTCTGGTATCCCTCGGAGCCTGCGGGGTAAAACGACGCGGAGGGACGTGAGTGGAACGAGGCTTACGCCCTGGATCCCAACACATCTCGGAGGTGGGACCCTTCGTCCCACTGGGATTACCTTGCGAGGCCGCCGGGCGAACGCCCATTTGCAAAGCAGTACGTCGGCCGAGTTCGGAACCCTACCGGGTGTCGCGTTCCGTCCAGGGAGGTTTGCCGACGAGGGCTAGAGAACTGAGAACCACCAGCGTCCTGACTGGGAGTGATCAACCCGGCTAGGTTCAAGAGTCCCGAAAAGGAGTTTGGGTTGCAGGACTCGCGCGGTGGATGAGTCACAACCACCACTGAGTGAGGAATCCGTGGCACTGGGTAAGGGTGGCCCTGCACCACCATGATCGATCCCAGGGTGAGGTCCACCGGTGGATTCCCCAACAGTCTTGCAAGCCCCCTACCACTCTCCAGGGACCCGGCCCGGTGGCGCCTGGTGGCGCTACGGGACCCGAAGGCAGACCCACCAGCCTACATAACAGAAAATCAGAAACGGCTCAGGATTTATACTGTGACGTAAAGGGGGCGCTCACCGATATGATCAAGGCACTAACTTCTCGTCGAGAGGACCACGCGGCTGGGGGAAGCCACGAGGGCTCGGTGACGGCTCCTACGCCTACCTCGAGCATGGCACCGGCATCGTTGCGCCTGGCACGCATCGAGGTACCGACTTTCAAGGCCATGCAGGGCTTCTTCGAGGGTCGCATCCGGGCGCAGGAGCCGGTCACGAGGGGTCGGGACGCAAGGAGTAAGCCGCGCAACCCGCCGGGGGTCCGCGCTCACGCGGCAGTGGCGAAGGATACCAAGTGCCTTCTACGTTCGGGCGTGCACGCACCGTTTACATGTCCGTCGTTTAAGGACCTTTCCGTAGGCCAACGACGCGATACCGTGACGGACAATCGATTGCGCTACAATAGCTTAAGTGCGAAACACCCAGTGCGCGCGTGCCCATCGCAGATACGCTGCCACACCTGCAACGGGGTACATCATACCCCTCTGCATAAGGGCAGGGGGTCGGCGGTTCGGACCGACGACCAGCAGGCCGTGAGGGACAATCCAGAGGACGCAGGTACCGAACAGACGGTCGCAAGTGCCAGCCTGGAACGCGCTGTACGGCCAGAGACAATACGGTACGGGCGCGACCGGTTCTGCTAGCCACGGCCATTGTGACCGTGGAGGCAGCTTCGGGCCGGCAAATGCGCGTGAGAATCTTGATCGATCAGGGATCGGAAGTCTTTAATTTCCGAATCGGTGGCCCAGCATTTGCAGTTACCGCGGAAGGCGACCCGTATTTCCATCGCCGGCGTGGGGGGAACGAGGGCTGCGCCGTAAAGGGGTCGACGACCCTCCGAGTACGGTCGCAGGTAGACCTAGGGTTCGCGCTCGAACTGCGAGCCCTGGTTTTACACCGGCTAACGGCGCACCTTCCGACGCAGCAGATGGCCATCGGAGACTGGCCTTATTTAGTGGGACTCACCCTGGCCGACCCGGATTACGCGGCGCGATCGAAGGTCGACTTATTGCTAGGAGCCGATGTCTACGGGGACATCCTCTTGGAAGGTTTACGGAAGGGCTGCACGGGCGCCCCGTTCGCGCAACGGACCACATTAAGGTGGGTGCTGTCAGGACCGACCGGTGGGACGACGCACGATACGACAGTCACGACGACGGCTCAATCCTTCCAGTACACCTCGGAGGAAGGATTGCACAAGGCACTGCAGTGGTTCTGGGAGTTAGAGGAGGCTCCCACCTGGCAGTACAGCCTCACTGCTGAGGAGACCGCCTGCGAGGAGCACTACGCTCGCACGGTGCGAAGGGACGCGGATGGACAGTACGTGGTCCGGCTACCGTTTAAGATCCCCACGACGAAAGATTCATGCACTTCGTGACACGGCGCGATGCGGCTGTTGGAACGGAATGAGCAGCGCTTCATTACCGATCCCGGAATGGCGGAATCATACCGCCAATTTATGGAGGAGTACATACGGCTAGGGCACATGGGACCGACGGCGGGCGGTGTTCGGTGGTTCTACCTGCCGCACTACGCGGTCGTAAAGGATTCAAGCATGACCACCAAATTGAGGGTCGTTTTCAATGCCACGCATCCAGCGCTAAATGGGACGTCGCTCAGCGACTTATTGCATGCGGGGCCCAAACTATAAGCCGAACTGAGAGACATTTTGCTACGTTGGCGACGACACCCAGTCGTCTTTTCGACCGACATTGAGAAAATGTTCCTGCGAATCTGGACGTACCCGGACGATTGCGATTTCCAGCGGGTGCTATGGCGGGCAGAGGGCGCCACTCAGGTAGCGACGTATCGCTTACGGACCGTTACTTACGGTACCCCTTGTGCGTCCTACCTGGTCATCCGCACCTTGCGGCAATTAGCCTAGGACAAGGAGGCTCGATACTCGCTGGGATCGGAAATCGTCCGGAAGAATTTTTATATGTACGACGCCCTCTCGGGAGCAAACAGTGGAAGGGGCTGTCGACCGACGGCAACAACTTCAGGGGCTTATGGCATCAGGAGGGTTCACCCTTAGAAAATGGACGTCCGACCGGGTTGCGGTACTAGCGGCCGTACCCCCCCTCCCCAACTTCGGGAGACGGGAGTAGTGCTACAGCTGCAGGAGGACTCCACGCTGCGGATGCTGGGGTTGAGATGGCAACCCATAAATGACAGTGTCAGCTTCCAGGTGCATCCGCGACCATCTTGTGGCCAGCGGACGAAAAGGGCGGTATTATCCGACATAGCCCGACTCTTCGACCCCCTAGGATGGCTGGCGCCGGTTGTGGTGGCCGCCAAGGTGATCTTGCAACGGCTGTAGCTTACAGGGACCGGATGGGACGAGCCGCTCCCACCGACGGAATCTGCGGCTTGGGAGACGTTCAGGGAGTGACCGGTTGATATCGAGGTGATATCCATCCCTCGATGGATGGGAGCTACGTCCGCTCAGCTGACGACGCAGTGCGAGCTGCACGAGTTCTCCGACGCCTCGGAACGAGCCTACGCGACGGCCGTCTACCTGCGCGTCACCACGGGGGGTGGCGCGGCCCAGGTCACCCTTTTGACGGCCAAGACAAAAGTCGCGGCGGTCAAGAGGGTGTCGCTCCCACGTCTGGAACTGTGCGGGGCCACTCTTCTCTCCCGTTTGGTCCACCATCTAATGGGGGCCCTACGATTGGAGTCGGTACCAATCCACCTCTGGACCGACTCCACAATCGTATTGGCTTGCCTACGAGGACACGCGTCGCAGTGGAAGACGTTGGTGTCGAACTGGGTTAGAGAGATCCAGACCGCGCTGCCGGGGTCAGAGTGGCATCACGTCCCAGGCGAGGAGAATCCAGCGGACTGCGCCACGCGAGGCCTGACACCCCGCGAATTGCGGGAGCATCACCTGCGGTGGAGTGGGCCAACCTGGCTTGCGGAGGACCGGACTTTATGGCCCGGCTCCAACCTGACGGTCGAACCGACCGACTTGGAGGCCCGGATGGCACCTGTCGGCGTCAACCTCGGCCAGGTACCTGCCGCGGCTCTGCTGGAAAGGTTCTCCACCCTGCACAGGTTGCTGCGGGTTACGGCATGGTGTCCATCCACCATGTCGGCATGGAATCGGCGGTATGGTGTCGGCATGGTGGCATCGGTTCGGGACGAATTGCCGGCGGTCAGGTGACGACCGCGCGAAGGGCCCTTTGACACCTGAGGAGCTTGTTTAGATCCGTCGACCCTGGGTCCGGATTGTGCTGCTCCAAGGCTTCCCGGATGAGATCGGGCGTCTCCAGGGGAAGAAGGAAGTATCATCCAAGAGCGCGATTTTGAAATTCGGTCCATTTTTAGACAACCAAGGGATGCTACGAGTTGGAGGCCGCCTGCAGCACTCGCTTCTCGCGTACGACGAGAAGCACCCGATCCTCCTCCCGGGAAAACACCATTTCTCAACCCTCGTCATCGGCCAAGCACACCGGGCTGTGCTGCACGGAGGGACGCAGATGACGCTGGGCTACCTGCGGCAGACCTTCTGGATCCTTGGGGAGCGGACCACCTCAACCACACAACCCTCCCTCCTAAAGGTCTCGATGAACTATCTCAGCCGGTGGCAACTGCTGAGACGGATGTACGAGCACTTCTGGGATCGGTGTTCTCGGGAGTACCTGCTGGATCTCCACACCAGGAGCAAGTGGAGAACGAGGTCCACCCCGGTCCGAGTTGACGATATGGCGCTGCTCTGGGACGAGCGCCTACCTCCGACCAAGTGGCCGTTGGTTCGGGTCATCGAGACCCACCCAGAACCCGACGGTGAAGTACGGATAGTGACCGTACGCAAACGGGACACGACACTTAAGCGTCCGGTAATCAAACTGTGCCTCCTTCCGGAGGATATAGGGACAAGTGCGTAAGTTGAGGACACCGCATGACAGGCGATGCATTAGGAACTTTAAGGCTAAGGATTAGGATTAGGCTAGGATAAGGCAGGACTGATTATTTCGTCTTAATGACGAGGTGGGTGGAATGCTGAGGATGAGTTCCGCGGAGTCTTGAGGAGAAAGTCCGTCCGCCCAGACCGCACATGTCGCCCAAATGTTTTCCGAATTTGGCTGTCTTTTGGGCAAGGGCGGCTATAAGTTATTTCCAATGACCAATATAAATCAGTGAGAA